ATAAATAAAATAATAATAAATATAAAACAACAAATAAAATAAAAACAAAATTACTTTTCTATTATCTCCTCTGCATGCAACAAACAAATAAATTAAACTACAATCACAAACAAACAAATAAACACAAATACTCCTGCTGCTGCTGCTGCTGCTGCTGCTGCTGCTCTTGCTGCAGCAGCAGCAGCAGCAGCAGCAGCAGCAGCAGCAGCAATCTATTTCTCTCTCCCGCAGGGTGTTAATCTCCTGCCTGAGAGCTTATTGAAGCAGCAGCAGCACCTGCTGCTGTTGTTTCTGCTGCTGCTGCTGTTGCTGCTGCTCCTGCTGCTCCTGCTGCTCCTGCTGCTGCTGCTGCAGCAGCAGCAGCAGCAGCACACCAGCAGCGCTGCAGCAGATACACCCCAACGTCTTCAGGGGGCACAGCAGCAGCAACTCTCCCCAGGCTCCTCCATCCGCTGCAGCAGCAAAGCGACTCCTCTTGCCACTCTGTCCGCCTCAGTTTTGCTGCTGCTGCTGCTGCTGCTGCTGCTGCTGCTGCTGCTGCTGCTGCTGCTGCTGGGGCGGGTGCTGCTGCTGCTGCTGCTGCGAAGGTGCTGCTGTCTCTGTCACCAGAGCTGCTGCTGCACACCGAAGGAGAGTTGCAGCTGCTGCTCTCTAAGCTTATAAATCTATGCTGCTGCTGCTGCTGCTGCAGCTGCTGCTGCTGCTGCTGCTGCTGCTGCTGGTGGTCGTAGGTGTGTGGGGTTGCTGCTGTTTGTGTTGCTGCTGCTGTTTGAGCTCTTATAAGGCGTCGCCTGCAGCAGCAGCAGGGGCTGCTGCTGCTGCTGCAGCTGCTGCTGCTGCGCTGCAACTTCCGCAGCAGCTTGCTCCATACTGTTCTTGCTAGCAGCAGCTGCTGCTGCCGCCGTTGATACTGCTTCTGCTGCTGCTGCTGCTGCTGCTGCTGCGCCTGCTGCAGCAGAACTGCAGGCAGCCGCTTATCTGTCTCCTTTATACTGAAAATGTTGCTGAGGTGTACATACACCTGGAGCACAGGCCGCTGCTGCTGNCTGTCTCCTTTATACTGAAAATGTTGCTGAGGTGTACATACACCTGGAGCACAGGCCGCTGCTGCTGCTGCTGCTGCTGCTGCTGCTGCTGCCACGCTTGCTGCTGCTGCTCCACGGCCTGCAGCAGCTGCAGCACGACTTGCTGCTGCTGCCGCAGCAGCAGCAGCAGCTCCCTGTCTAGCGATTCTACTACTACACAGCTGTGTATGGGGGGCAGCAGCAGCAGGCCGCTGCTAGCAGCAGCAGTTGCTGCTGCTGTCTGCTGCTTTGCTGCTGCAGCAAGAGCAGCAGCAAGAGCTTCCTCTTCTTCTCCTGCTGCTACGGAGACAGCAGTCAGTCCCCTTCTAGCAGCAGCAGCACACGGACTGAGAGCCATTCAGAAGGGAGTGGTATTGCTGCTGCTGCTGCTGCTGCTGCTG